CTCTCTCTCTCTCTCTCGATTACTTCGAAAGAGTCTCTCTCTCTCTCTCTCTCTCTCTCTCTCTCTCTCTCTCTCTCTCTCTCTCTCTCTCTCTGTGTGTGTGTGTGTGTGTGTGTGTGTGATCCCGAAAAAGAAAACTAGCGAGAGGAGCAACGAGCCCACCAATCCCAGCTTGATTTTCCGTAGTGATTAAACGTTTCAAGTCCCGCTAAAGAAAAGGTCACGCAGGATCGGCCACTTGCACAGCGCCCAACAGTCCGATCTTTTCCGCCTAGGCTGGTTGTTCGCATCAGGGATTAGATTTTCTACTTTACCGTTCTCAGGGACTGTTCGCACAAGAAGCTTTGTGAATGAAATACTCCATAGATGTCGTCGAATACATTCAGGAAAGTCCACGTGTGTACCACCTTAGGGTTCGTCTCACCTCTCCCTCACGGTACTAGTTAGCCATTGTTCCCCCACAAAGACCTTTTCGGATAAACTGTAAGTCATCCAGAGATGCGATCACATACATTCAGGAACGTCTAGTGTGACTATTGCCTTGCCGTCCTTTTCAACTTCCCCTCACGGTGCAGTCGCACACAACCAGTCTTCAATCTTTTCGTACCTGATGCAGCGCGAGCGGATGTTGTGAGGACAAGAGTTTTACCTTGGTCTTCAATGTTTCGTCCTTCTGTCAGAACAAGAGTTTTACCTTAGTCTTCCATGTTTCGTCCTTTTGTCAGGACAAGAGTTTTACCTTAAGTCTTCAATGCTTCGTCCTTTTCGAAATGTTTCCCTCTATACCTTTCTCGGGCTTTCGACTAAGATCAAGCGTAGCATCTGTTCTGATCAGTTTAATATCTGAATCCGTGGCCCATCAGAACACACACAAAAAAAAAAAAAAAAAAAAAAAATCCCTCTCGGGCGTGTCGATGGGTGGAACGAGAGATGGGTCTCGAGTTGCAAGGACAAGAGTTTTTGTACCTGATGCACCGCGAGCGGATCTCGTTTTCCGAAATGTTTTCCTCTCGGGCGTGTCCGACCAGTACTGGCTGTCACGCCAGAAGTCGACAAGGATTCAAATCCTGTTTTCCGTGGCCGTTTGCAAGAATGTGCATTTCACTGCCGTCATCGAGGACGAATAGATACATCTAAATGGGCTTTTCCATTGACGTCAGCGAGTTTCACAAGCCATACTTAACAACAAAATTTCATAGCGGCAGTTTCTCACAGCGATCCGTGGGATTACTCCAGCGGTCCTTTCCTCGAAGCAGTCACTACACTAATAGGATTTTCCAGCACGCACCTAGATTCAGCCCACAACGATGGCCTAATACTAACAGATCCTGCTGTCGGAAGGATGGCCTAAGACTAGCACATCCAGCGGTCGTTTTTCCTTTCCCCTTCTTGCTGCCTCTGCATACTACCTCCCAGCTCTTTCCGATTGGCTCGCTTCCAGCACGCACCTGACCTCATTTACGGCCAGATTCAGTCCAATAGGATTTTCCAGCACGCATCTGACCTCGTTTACGGCTAGATTCAGCTCACAACGAACATTACGATTGACTATTATCGGCCGAGATCCGAAAGGGCTCAAAAAGCTTTTCACGCGAACACTTTCGCTCGAGCGTTCTGGGGCGACATAGCGCCTCGCTCCACGACTCTCCAAATGTGCAAAATGAGAATGAATCTTCCCCTAGAACACGGGAAAATGCACCGCCATATTTTTTGTTTTTCGTGCGTGTGGTGCGCAGTGGAGCGAGGCCCATAGCGAGGAACTTCCACAATGACCATCCCGTCTGCGACAGGGAGGATAGAGGGCACTAGACCACCCCCCCCCCCCCTCCCTCGCCCCACTTCCAAATTGCGTATTCCTTGCCGTAACTTACTTTTCATCGAGTTTCTTTCTTACTACTTTTTT